TGGGCCTGGGTGTGGGTGGGAGGGCAGCTCCCAGAGGCCCCTGGTCTGGGTCTGGGTCTGTGGGTGGGGGGTTGGGGCAGCGGTTTGCTGGGAGGGCGTGTGAGACCCTCCGGGGCCCTGAGGCCAGAGAGTGGCCCCGGGAGAGCTGAGCACCAGACTGTGGGTGTCCTGGGACCCTCACCCTGTCCCCTGAGGCTCGAGAGGGGGACATCTCCCATGGGACATGGCTCTGTCCAACGACAGGCACGTTCCCACCAGGGCACCCCGGCCCAGAGGGCTGCATGGCCAGGCGCGAGGCACCCACAGGGCGAGGTGGGAGGCGGCCGCTCGTTGCCCCGGGTCATGTTCCTCCCGGGGTGTCTGGTGCCCGGCCCCGGGCTCTGGTTGCAGGGCAGGAGGTGGAGGAGGGGCTGGGCGTGCAGCTGCAGGCCTGCGTGGGCTGTGTGTGCGTGCACATGTGCACATGTGGGTACACGTGTGGCAGCAGGTGTGTGCACGTGTGTGATTGCATGTGTGGGTAGCAGCTGTTTGCATGTGTGTGTGTGAACACACATTGTGAGTGTGTGTGCATGTGTGTGCACACGTGGGGGCAGCAGTGTGTTTGCTCCTGTAGCGGGCACAGTCCAGGTATGCACTATGGCTATTCACGCGGCCTCCCCAGGAATCGGCTACTTTGGGTCAGTGGCTCGGGGCCGTCTCAGACCTCCCAGCCCCTTCTCAGAGCCTCCAGAATGCCCACGGGGGTGCTGGCCAGCACGCCTGCCTGTGCCTGTGTGTGTCATCCTGGGCTGGGGGTGAGGGTCCCCATCTGTTCTGACACACTGAGCCATTTGCCGGGCTGCCTGTCAGCCTCAGAACGTTCCACCAAAAGGGATCCTGGTCCCTGTGGCAGGAGGTCAGGCTGGACCTGTGACAGGGGCCTGAGGGACCCCAGCCGAGGCCACACCCCTCCCTGCCCCCCTCACTGGCCTCGCCAGGGTGACCAGAGCTGGGCCCCAGCTTCCAGGGGTCCACAGGTCGGTGGGAGGCCCATGTTCCTCCCGGGTGGTGCCCTGGCCACAGGTCCTGGGTGGGGCTGACTCACCCACCTCCCTGTCTGGGTACCAGCGTCCTCCCCTCCCCCCACGGTGAGCGGTAAGGGCTGCGGCCCCAGCTGGTCACTCTTTGATGAGGGGTGCGGGCCACCTGAGGTCCCCGTGGGCTCTGAGCTCTGGGACTCTGCCCTCTGCCCTCGGAGGTCAGCCAGCACCTTATCTCCAGGCAGGACTGTTCCGGGCCGCCCAGCTCAGCAGGACTGAGAGATGCTGGTGTGGGTGTGGCCTCAGCCCAGGCCCCAGGGACGGACTGCTCGGGACAGAGCCTCGGGGTGGGAGGCCCTCTGGCCGCCTTGGCCAGGCCGGGAGAGGCGTGGGGCCTGGGGGTCCGGCACTTGCCGTTGTGGCTGTCACCTCCAGGGCGTCTGCCCGGAGGCACCGCGCTGAGCTGGGCGGGGTGCTGGGCCCGAGGCAGGTCCTGGCGCCTCTAACCAAGTCCCCGGGAGTCAAGTCGGAATGAAGTTCTGTCCTGCCGCCAGCATCCCTCGGGGCCCACACCTCCTGCTGGGCCTGGAGGGGCGTGGCCTCGGGTTTGGCCAGGGGTCTGTGCCCAGTCACTGCCCATCCCAGCAGCTCATCTGTCCTGGGGATTTCCTGGGCCAGTGGGGTCCGTCCACATGTGTGCTGCCCCGGAGCTGAGCTGGGCATGTGTGTGTGTGTGTACATGTTTGCCTGTGTAGGCATGTTTGTGTGTGCATGTGTGTCTGTGTGTGCATGTGCGCACGTGTTTGCATGTGTGTGTCTGTGTGTGCATGTTTGTGCGTGCGTTTCTGTGTGCATGTGCGTGTGTCTTTGTGTGGGCATGTTTGTGCGCACGTGTCTGTGTGCATATGTGTGTGTGTTTGCGTGTGTGCGCACACACACACAGGTGGCGTGGGCAGTCAGCTGAGGTCCTCGGCCGCAGGTTCTTCGAGGACCTGGAGCGGCGGCACAAGGCGCAGGTGTGCGTGGAGGACATCAGCGACATCCTGGAGGAGCACGCGGAGCGGCACTTCCACCCCTACGTCGCCTACTGCTCCAACGAGGTCTACCAGCAGCGCGCCTTGCAGAGGCTCACGTGAGCGGCG